CTTCAGTATTATTTTCACAATCAAATGTAGATGAAGAACCGATGAGTGTCTCTGGATGAATATGTTTTGAAGTGGGAATTGTTGTAGACTGTGTATTACTTTGATCACTCAACGGTAATGTGGCTGTATTGTTGAATGCATGCAGATGATATATACCTAAACACGAATCGAGATATGAAGAGTGAGTCGAATTGAGATATGAGAAGTGATAAACGCCAATTTCCACCTGGATGTTTCTGATGAATGAGCAACTTTTAGACTTAGATCTATTGAAAATTATTCGACGATTCATTTTGATTAGAAAATTTCTTCCACAAACAGATAGTATCGAAATGGAATCATATACTAAAAACTCAGAATAAAGAGGGGTTTTGAATCTGCTTTTAAAGACTTTCAGAAAACTTTCTTAAAAGCCAGGAATATTGTTGAAATCAGTACGGCTTTTGTCTGAATTCTAGGCTATCCAAGCACATACTTAAACTAATATCAACTATTCATCGAAATTTAGCATTTCCGACATCAGCAAGAGGCTTAAGATATAAAGCATAATAGATACACATACATTAAGTAGATACGTATATACACAAAGGCAGATATTGGTGAAACATCAATTTAATAGATTGAACATTAACTTTAATAGAATATTAGAAAAAACACAAAAAGTAATGAAATATCCTATTAAAATTCTTAATCTATTATTACCGTCTATAAAATAAATGCGTTAGACATTAGTAGAAGAGGCATGCAACATAAGAGGCAAGATATTATTAGTAGCATTATCCTCAATTCATGCACTCTTCCTTTTACCTGAATACTGGCGTCGATGTTGTTTTGAAGAAAGTTCATTTAATTGTTCAACAAAATCACGATTCAAATCTACATGAAAGATTTCTCAAACTGTTTTCTATTTTTATATCATATCAAAAAATTAATCTGATTTCCCATGTCGAGCTTTTTTAGGTTCAACAAATTACCGTCAGTTAACAGTTAACCGACGGTAATTTATTAGACCGCGGTACAGAAAACTACCGCACGGTAACCGTTTTTATACATTCACCGTTTTGTTTTGCACCCGTCAGTTGATATAAGAAATACAGAAAATTCAGAAAACTTGATATTTTTTTCAGATTAAACTTTTCTTTTAGATCATATAGACTCGTCGGAGTTTAACTTCGACTCGAAACAAATTTCTCTTAATTGTGAGCCTCTCTGCGCTTACAAACGCTCAACAAAGAGAAGAAAGTTGAAAACTAGATTCGAACTCCTGTACTGCTTGTTCATAATGACAAAATACGGAACGGTAACGCTGGTTATATGAACGGTGATCGCGGTTACCCTATGGTAATTTCGATTTTGCTACTGATATAGCGGCCGGGGTACTGAACGGTGACCTTCTTCCGTTTTGAGGACATGGAATTTGCTCAATTATATTTTTTATATTATCCTAAAGTGTTTCACTCATGTGATTTACCTTTCTCAGTTGGACCATCAGCTGAATTTGGACGAGAAAATAATTTTATATCGGATGGTGTAGCTGTCAGTTCTAAAATAATAAACATTTTTCACTACACAGTTCATAGTGGAATAGTGTTAGCTCGTACGCACGTTTTCGTTGGTGAACAGCCGCAGAGACAGGTCGATTACTGTCATATAATCGAATTAAATCTTGTTGACGTTTATTTCTCTCTAAGTGAAGACAGTATTTTATAGAATACTTTTAATTTCCTTAAAATGTAATTACCTCTACTAGCACTCGATGCACGCAATCTCTTTTTATCGTGGTTCATTGTGTTTGTTGCCCATTCGTCATTTTGTTCGGCTCGTTCGTTTTTAACAATTACATTGATTTTTTTTGAGTTTATATTTTCTCGTGGAATTAGTGTATTAATAGGATGTGCCTGTTCATCGGCTACCTCGGAACCATTTGATGTTGAAACAATAATTTGCTCATGAGAGGTCGATTTCATCGAGGATTTTAGACGTGGATTGACACCTATTCAAAGATAAAAACTTATACTTTCACATTTCTAAAGAGGTTTTTACTCCTGTTTATGTACCTAAATGGGCGGCTGATTGTTTATTTGTTTTCATATATGCAGTCATCATTTCTTCTAAATCTGCTTCACTTGCTGATCGAATAAAATTTTCAAAGAGATGATCATCGATCTGATTAACCCCTGTTGCAGTGGACGATACTGTTGATACTATTGAAATAGTTGTTGTACCCGATGCAGTAGTCGAAGCGGATGAGATTCGTTTGTTTGCAGCTGGCTGTAACTGAACCAGTGTGCCTCGTTGTGCATCAGTTTCTTTATTGTACAAGTGTAAAAAGTCGCATAATTCTTTCGCTAATATTCGTTTTTGATCAGCAAGTGACAAACGTCTTGATGGAATTTCTACACGAAATGGTTGAGAAAGATTTTGACCAGCACGTTTTAAAAATCGTATAACTAATTCCATATGTTGTGTAGTAGTCGCTTCTTCTTTTAATTCACTGTCTAGCATTAGACGAAATTGGATACGTTGTAAATAAGTAGAAAAAGCAGTTCGAGCTTGTAATGGACTAAAGAGAAAAAAATAAACAAGAATATGAAACATGTTTGATAGAACGCAAGATCGTACACACTATCACATGTTCAAAATGATGTTACTTACGTTAATGTGGCTCCTTCGTTTAGATAATTTAATATATCTGTTTTAGCATATATAGAATGTCGTATCTCTCCTTGTCCTACCAGTGAATGTTGTTGCTGTTGTTTAATCATTTGAACATTTGTTAAACGTTTAGTTGAAGATTCGGTTCTGACATGTTGTTGTTGAGAAGATTGTGATCGAACAATATGAGCTGTACTACTTGGGGCAGATGAACGAGGCAAAGATGTTACTTGAATTGATTTCGCTGTTGCTGTGGATTCCTCGTTATTAATACCTTGTACAAGTACTGTAGTTTGTTGTTGTGTCGCTGATGGTCCGTGTTGTGGTTGTTGTGGCAGTGGTGGAGGTAGCGGAGCTGGTACTGGTTCTGGTTGAGGTATGATAATATCGGCTAATCTTCGCTCATAGTATTTATATCGATCAATCGCTTCATCTAAATCACATCCGCTAGTTTTGTTGCTAGTCAATTGATCTTGATTACCACTACAAGAATTTAAAATACAGAATAAAAACTAGATGTTACACACAATTTCGAGCAGATTTGTCTCAGTTTTGCCACTTACCTGTAGTTATAAGCCGTACTTAAATGTTTTGCTCTTGGTACTGTGGTCCTTCTAATCCCTCCAACACTGACTGATGTCTGAATTGAATTCGTTTGGTTCGAATTTGCTGTTGATGTCATCCATCGTTCAGGATACAAACGTTGGTGTAGCATTAGATTATAGGATGTCGTTCGTTGTTCAAAAAAAGTTGAAAAAAATTCATAAGTATCTGAGGTTGGAAATATGCGAACAAATCCACCACGATGTTTTTGTTCTTCTTTTACTGTACGTAAAATACGAGATTCTTCTGATGATAAACCAAAATATTCATTTGAACGTGATGGATTTTGGGTATTGTTTGAACTACGATGAGGTGGAGGATGAGAACGATTGTGATGACTAGCAGTTGTAGCCCGTAAACGAGAATTCGTATTTGTAAATGAAGTCGAAAGAGAATAACCAGCGGATATTGGACGACGCTAAAAGGCAAAAAAGAATTATTGTGATTTTTCATTAAAATATCGGATCACTAAATAAAAACAGATATCCACGATGGCAAAATATACTCTTTTTAATGTTTCTGATTGAGTTTGCTGTTGTTGCTGTTGTTTATGTCTATTCGAATAAATACAAGGATCTTGGCACGGAAGTGCAGTCAAATTTAACAAATCACATATCATATGAGTTTTTATTTTCAAATCGATTGGAGCATCGCTAAAAAAAGAATAGAAGAACACTTAATTTAAAAAATCTACCACTAGTAACAATACGAACCAGCCCAAAGAAGGAGAAAGATTTACTTCTAAAACCTAAAATAGAAAATAATACTAAGTAAAAGAAAAGATAAAGAGCAAATGACATTTATACCCATGGCCTTAGTTCATCATCAATCAGTATATCGAAACCATAGACTTCTATAACAGAAATAATAAAAGAATATGTAAAAATTTTCTCATCTGAATTTTTCATCACATACCAAAACAATTTCCTTTGTGTGGTACAAACATTCTACATGCAGCTGATATATGACTTTCTACAGAGAGTAACGTTTTAACAATAACATCCTCGATAGACATCATTAAACCTAGAAAACAAAAAATAGCTCTTAGACATACAATAAAATAGTTGACTCTATAAACCTACCAAAAGTATCTTTTCCTTCTGCTTTTAATAAACGTAACATTGCACTCATTGACCATTTATTACCGAAATCTTCGATATCGGGATCATCACATCTAAAAGTATGTCAGAAAAAAAAAATGATAATTATTTAACAATAAGAATATAGTTACTTGCCTGACATAACGATGACTTCGTTTATTCACACTGTAGTTAGTTAAATGCATAAACGCATTTTTTATACTACGTTGATTTGGATCATATTTAACAGTGGCAAATCTATAAAAAAACAAATAAAATGATAATTATTTTTATCTAAAAACTAGACATATTATTTTTTAACTACCATGACATATTTAACCGTACTGTCTTCTCTACGCACGTAAAATATGCAAATCATACCTTGATAGTCCTTCTTCATATAGATAAGCGACCAATGGATCATATGAGGTAACAGCTACATAGATTCGAACATCAAATTTATAGCCTAAAAGTAGAAAACTAACTTTAAAAGAGAGATCATATTAAAAATATCCTATATATATATACCATCAATAAGGAGTGGATTATCTATATATCGACTAATTACTAAATTTTCATCTAATGGCACTTGATCAGGCTGCAGCAAAAAATAAAAAAACAAATCAGATGTGTACTGTAGATGTTATAAAAACACTCGATTCTTACATGATTAATCAAAAATATTCCTTTTCCTTGAGATGATGCAACCGGCTTGATTATCCATACACCTTTTTCACGCTGAAAGGCCCCTTTAAAGAGACGAAGAGACGGAATGTAAAATGGCATGTCATGTATGAGAAATTTTAAATGTACCACAAAAATCTTCAAATTCATAAGGTAATAAAAATGTAGTAGGAATAAAATTAAAATTTTTTGAACCCTAAAAATAACCACAGAATTATAGACGAAAAAAAATTGGATTATTGTATTTACTTTTTCCTGTTGCATTTTTTGTACATTTTTATAAAGACGATCTTTTCTTGTCATTTCATACGATCTAGAAAAGTGCGTTAGTAGTGATTTACGTCTAAGATAATTAATTTTAATAAATATCAAAGGCTGAATGAGACAGATTCACGTTCTCAGCTATACTTATTTCAATCAAGCAAAATTTTATTTCAACATCACAAAAGTGATAATTTTAACACTCTTACCTTGGAAAATGGTTCACTCTTTGAAATAAACTTAAACTTCTTAATGTAAATGGTTTCATTCCTCCACCTGTCCACATAATATTAAATTCATGACTTGAAGGATGTACTTCTTTGAAACCATGACCTTCCAATATCGATCGTAATAATTTTGCTTCATTTTTGACAAACTTGAAACTTAGACAATATTTTTCTAAAAACAATAAAATAATTCAATTTTAATATTATATAATTGAGAATTTCTCTTTTTTTTTGTTTCTTACCTCCAATTTTTTCCGCTTCTGGACATCGTCCGTAGACAACTTTGGGTGAAAATAGTAAAATAGGTGTACGTTTTGTTCCATATCTTACTATTCGAGGAATTAATATTCTAATAAGAACAAAACTCATAGTCTTTTTTTTTTTATAAATGAAATACAAAAACTTACCTTGTATTACCCGAATCATTTGAATTATCGATTAATTCGTCAAAACTTTCTTCTTCTACTCCGCCTTCTTCTCCATCATTACATTCTTCTACTGAATCCTCACCGCCTGCATCATAAATGGCTGAATCAATGCTCGCGGAACGATGAACGACACCTTTTGCAGATGTTGACCGACTTATTGAAGGCTGTATCTGTTGCACGGGCATATAAGAAACAAAAAGATCTAGAATAAAATAGAAATATAGAGCATAACCAAAAATATGGTCGCAATAGAAAACATTCATTTTTATTCATGAGAATTTAAAATCTATTTGAAGTCCAAACCAACAGTGACTTTTTTTCACACAACTCTCAACACTATTCTCAATTACAAAGAGTCATCTTTCAGATTTTGCCAATATTTTAATCTAATATACTCAAAGTTTATATGTCAACACAATCTTATGCCCCTTTTGTGTGGAATCAAAAGGCTTGAGCGTAGTATAATTTGTTTGTTGTTGTTTTTCTTTTATAAAAATAAATATAAATTTTTCTATCAAAACAAACAAAAGTTGGACAAAAAACCACTGTACACAAAAGAAACGTGCTGTTTCTGTGAGCTTTCGGTCGACCATTATACCTTCTTTCGCCCGAGCATTACCTCCAAAATAAATGTTACAACTCTGCTTGCAAAGATGTAACGCCACTATCGAATCCTATTGTGCATCGAGAATCCAGCTCGTATAAAACATTAATAAGATTGAGAGAACGCCAATGGGCTACTTCCAGCATTGAATATTTTATTTAACTGTGACAATTCATATTTATCTCTTCATACAATTTAATATTTAATCTAACAAACAACTACTAAAATTCTCTTTGCTGGTAGCGACGTTGCTACTATTCGTTTAACGATTGAACCAATCCCTAAGTGCACATCTTTGAGCATGCTATTTGTGTGTTTGTTTAAAAGCTGTGGCTTTCTATTATATGTTATATTATGCTGTGCTGTACTATGATAGAAAAGACAAGAAGGATTTTTATTGCCCTGACAAAAGTGGGAGCGAAAACCATCAAGATTTCCTTTTGAAGGACCCATAGTTATGTCATGTCCTATCGTTTTTGCAGATATTTCTGTTCTTTTAAGCGATCATTGATGGTTTAAGTCTTGCATGATGATGTCGGAACTAGTTTTTTATTTTGAGGATAAGTGTATAGAATAGTAAAGTTATTATCGTATAATGTGCATGTATACTCTAGTTTAATCAAGACACATGATCTCTGTAAAGATTGTTATTGAATGTTATCATCTTTATTCTCGTTGTTAGGAACAAACATTCACAGACCTTTAAAGAACTTTAGTCTAATGTCGTTTACTTTGGTTACACACCAAACGCATGTTATGTCGATGCTATTGGACAGAACTGAGATAAATGGGCAAAATTAGCATACAGTCGTCTCAAACACGTATTATTAGCCAACAATTGTACTAAGTTAGCGAAGAGAGAGAGAACGATTGCTGGAATAGGTGGTAGAATATCATTCATATCGAACTTTTTTATTGAATACTGTCGATTACCACAGCATTTCCAGTTAATTTAACTTATTTATTCAATGATATTTGAACAATAAGGATCGTGGTTATAAAGGTGCTGTGGCCAGCAAAGATCACCGACAGACCTCTAATAACAATGACTCAAGCCAAAAAACTGACAAAAAGTAGCAATAAAAAGACAAAAGAAAACTAACGTTAGAATGTGGAGTAGAGACAAATGAAATAAATAATGAAACAAATAGAAAGATAAAAAAAAGAAAATTAGTATAAGCACGAGCTGAATTAATATGGCAAAAATTTTACTATAAAAGATGTTGAGATCGAGCTCTTTTCAGTGAATGATGAAGAAAGCAAAACGAATTTGGTCCTGTTAGTTTATTCTAATCCGTAGCAATTTTATAGAAGAAAAACGAAGAATGAACTGTATGAGAAGAAAAACAATTGACGAGTTATGGAATGTCTACAAACGTTCGGTATATCGGTGGTGCTTTATCAGTATTAAACACATAGGTGGAAAGCTATGGGAGAGTGACTTACTGTCTGGATGAACTGTGATGTAGTCAAAATATATCGAATTTATTGGTTGGAATTTACAATGTTCACAATAGCATGCAGATCGTATTAAATCGAAGGATGAACACCCATAATAATTCAATCCGAATTATGGTGCGTCGGTGTGTTTCAACATTTACAAAAAAGATTAATTATGTGTCATTTTTGTACCATTTATCTTAATTTAATCATCGTGTTCAGATGTTACCAGTATCGACGCATACAAACCCTTCTCTGAACAGGATTTTACCATGTACTTCAAAGGTGAAAAATGTTAACAAGTTTAACTAGTGGAATCAATTGCACTCGTTCTACATCATATAGATGAAGAATAGTGAATTCAGTTTTGCAGTTTTCTGCAAATCTTGATTTATTATTAATTTTTTGAATAAAATTAATTTTGTATTTTTTTGATAGTTTTAATTTTAGAATACCAGAATATATTTCTTTTTACGCATGCATTTTAGAAGAATAATGTTTAAATCAAACAATGAATATATAACTTTCGAGTCGACGAATATGAAACATTTAATCTTCTACTTGTGAAAATATTGGACGAGAAATAGTAGAGACATAGCAAAAATAATAGCAATTTACTGAAAAGAAAACACAAATTGAGACAAACGTTTGAAACGCAATCTTTCTTCTAATAGATCATTGGACTTTTTCTCAATGATCAGTTAACAAAAATGTTGCACAATATTTTGTACTATCATGTAAAAATGAAACATAAATTTTTATCCATTCTCTGTTGATTATAAACATGCGTCGTTATTATGAGAATAATATAACTTTTGTAGATTTTATAATTTTGTTTCATTATTATAGAATTATTTGTTTATTTTAGATGTCTGCTTGTTTCGAATCATTTCCAACAGAGATATTTTTAGAAATGTTTGATTATCTTTCTGGTTGTGATATTTATTATTCATTTTCAAATTTGAATAGTCGTCTAAATTCAATTATTCAAATCAAATCTAAAATTTGTTTAGATTTATCTCATGTTACAACAGCTAAACAGTTTAACTTCTTCTGTACATTGATTGTACCACAAAATATTTTGACATTGAAACTTATAGGATACGTTGAAGAAAATTATTCTCATTGTGTACAAAAATGTTCATACAATCAAATTGATATATTTTTATCATATTTTCAACTAGAAGAATTTATTTATTTAAAATCATTAGATTTTTTTGGTATATATTCAGATAATTTAAAATTTATTTGTAAAAGTTTAGAAAAGTTAAATTATTTAACATTTATTTCATTAAGTTTTAAATGGTTATATGGAAGTGATATTCGATTTATATTTCGAGTCATATTAAATTTATCTTCATCAATTTTAAAATATGTAACATTAAATTTTGATAAAGAACAAAATATTGATGTTAATCAGTATACATCATTATGTAAACAACAAGATAAAATTAGAATTCAAGAAAAACATTTTGGATTATTTATCATCTATTATAAATAGAGAATGATCAATTATAAGTGACAATTTAACAATGGAAAATGAAATTATGCTTTCTAAAATATTGTTATTATTTGTTTTCACTGATTTTGAACGTAAATTTTCTTTTTATCTCATCGATCTTTGCTGACATTTTATGATTGCAAACAATTTTGATTATATTCAAGATTTAACGTGAGAAAGACATATCTATCTATAATATCAATTTTAAACTTTTATTTCTCTCGTACAAACGTCGATGAACGAACAATGGTAAAATCGATGGTTCTATCACATAATAGAGAATAGCTGATATTGTGTCTATTCGTGCATGCAGAATAGCTTAAAAATGATCAGTAAAGATGTGTATTATATATATTTATTATTCTTGTGTTATGAAACTGATTCTTTTTAAATAACGTATCTTATGCTGACAAACTTTATTTGTTATGTAAATGTTTCTTTATTATTCTAGATGTCTCTTTTACTAAAACCATCATTTTCATTTCAATTATTGTCACAATTGTTTCGTCCATCATGTTCTTCACGATTTACTCGAACACTTTCCGCTTTCTCCTCTTCTTCTTGTCGTCCAATTTTCTCTATTAACAATGGTACAATCTCTTCTCAATCAATATTATTGAAAAAATTACCTTCAACAACATCGTTATTTCAACAACCTTGCCGATTTGCTCATGTTCATTATACATATTCGATGATTTTAGAACGTGTTATGCTTGTTTTACGTCTTTACGATAAAATTAATCCCGAAAAATTACATTTAGATTCATCATTTCAAAAAGATTTTGGTCTCGATTCACTTGATCAAGTAGAAATCATATGTGCTATGGAAGATGAATTTCAATGGGAGATACCCGATAGTGATGGAGAATTATTTTTAACTCCTAGACATATTATTGTGTATTTGTGTGATAAATTTGATGTATATGAACATGTAGTACCAGAATCATCATCCGAGATAAATCATTCGACCACACACCATTAAGTAAACTCTCTGATCCTCAACACGTAGATTTGAGTTCATATTTTTTGTTATTCTGTTTTTCCTATGCATTATAAAGCTGTTTTTTTTTTTAAATATCTTTCAAAATTTTAAATGAAAAAAGACTTATCGTCTAGATTAATATATAAACATGCTGGATTATTCCTAGCAAAAGTATATAATTTTGTCATTAGTGCTTACTTATGGTAAGTTTAGGGGGTGAGGGTGGGCCATAAAGAATGGATCTCAATGTATTTTAACCGTAACTTTTTCCTGTTACATTCATAAGAGACACAACTTTGCTCTCACAAGATGTGTCTTGAAATTCTCTACAAAAAATGTATTGAGTGTTTTATTACGAAAATATGAAAGTAAATAGGTACACAAAAAGTTTCAAAATGATCAACTTTTTCCTATTTTTCAGATCCTTTATCTCTTGAGCTACCGAAAAATTTCAGTAGCGATTTTGTAGCCTTTGAAAAACTCTATCTTCTACTTATAATTAGAATTTTTCTACACTACAGCGAATTGAAGGACAACTTACTTCTTTTTAAGCTATTCCACGAAAATCATCATTTTCGAACAGCAGTTTCGCATCGTTATAGAAAATTCTTATATTTCTCTCAGAATAAAGTATTTTCGGATCGAATTTGTTTTATTGTACAAAGAACTGGTATGTCTGCTGTATTCAAATACGAAAATTTCAATAATTTTCTTTCTATGATTATGCTGAGTGAAAAGATGAAATTTTCCGTGTTATTCAGTGAATTTCAATAAAGTTATCTTTTTTGTACTGTAACACTCGGTTTGGACGAAATCTATCATACACCATGAGAAACAGTACAATTTACAACATCAGAAATTTTTATTCTTATTCTGTTGTATCCTGATATCTTTGTAGGCATTTAAAAAGCAATTTAGATACACTCAGAAATACTTTAGAAAGTTGACCATTTTGAAACTTTTCTGTATTTTTCGTGTACTTTCATATTTTTGTAATAAAACACTCAATACATTTTTGTAGAAAATTTCAAGACACATCTTATGAACGAAAAGTTGTGTCTCTTGAAAATGTAACGCGAAAAAGTTACAGTTAAACTGCAGAGAGACCCTCGAGAATCGCTTTTAGAGAATTAAAAGAGCTTTCTTTTTATCTATTCATCTCTTTGTATACTGTCAAATATCATAGAAAAATGTATGATAAGGATCCTTATGATGCTCGCTAATATCGGTCCTCAAATCGATACGCCAAATGCGCTAAAGAGACGAAAGCTATTCTATGATCTTCTCTTTTGCGTCTGAATTCTTTGATTGGCTCAGATTTCACTGTTTCCTTCGACTTGATCAATCTATTCATGAAAATTGAATATTATTGTAAATACGTTTTGTGGAATAGTCGTCAATTAATAACAATAAATGCATTAGTGTATAAAGAAACTCAAGTATTCAATTTATATTTTAAGATCTTGTGAAACATCTTTCACCTGGTTATGTTATTTTTACATTATTAAAAATGCAGTTAAAACGTCACATATTAATAAAAACAAAAACAAAAAATAAAAAACGAAAAACAAGAATGTCACAAATAACACTGAAATTATATTTTAACAATGTTAAATGTAACAGCATATCTTTTGATATTATAACTCTACGTAGTCTCATAAGAAATCCATTTTATAAGAAAACATGCTCAAATATATAAAAGATTTCACTGATTTCACTTTTGAATATGATAGATCCTAGTGGGACTTTAAACGAACTGGGAAACAGAACCATCGAGTCCAAATCAGATCTAAGTCCGTCAGCAAATGGTTTAAGTCTAGATCTGGATTTGAACACTTCTACATTCAAAAAAAATTGATATTATAACAAAGTATTAGTAGTATATGTATTTGTACTTTAAATCTATTTATTAGCATCCAAAGCTTTAGTAAGGTGGTTCTTTCCATTTAAAGCAAGAAGTCAACTTGGATCTAGCAATAATTATGTTTTTTAATAATTGTCGAACATATATATTATACTTCATGTATACTCTTCTGTGTTTTGACTATAGTTCTTCTTCAACTTTGTACCTTTATTTTGAGACAAGTTCTTTCTTTTCATTGAGTTTATCTTAAAAGTTATAGAAGGTCAAGATGGATATTTGATGTCAAAAACAGATTTTTAGTATATAAACTCGATTAGTTTTCTTCAATGTATCTGTTGTCAACTCAAGAAGTTGTTTAAGCAAGCTGCTGTAAAATTATTTTTTTTAACTATTTAAGTCATGAGAACCTTTGCTTAGCCTATATATATATATATTTTCATGAGAAAATAAAATACTCCACCTTTCTACATTTCATCATATTCCTATGTTATTGTCTGTCCGTTATGGTTGTTATTGGTGTCGCGTAAAACAGAAGAGAGAAGGAAAAAAAGTTAATTTCATTTTAAATAAGACTGTGTTCATGGTGTAAGTAAGTAAGTATGTAGAAGAATTTTGTGAGGTTTTTTCTTTTATATTTTATTGAATTAAAAACAGTATAGGACATAAAATTTATATAATAGGATGTTGTTCATCTCTCACTAAAAGCCCATGAATAAAAAAAATGAGGAAAAAAAGCTTCTATTTTTTCTTTTCTTTTTTTTCTGCTGTTTTGACCAAAATCCATAATCTCTCTTTCTCTGTTTCTGTAAAAGAAAAAAATTTTGTTTTATAACATTTCAATGATCAGAATACAAAAAGAGAAACTGAAACATTAACAATCGAATAATGAGAAGAAAAAAAGAAACCAGAGCAAATATTCGGTTATTGTTGCAATAATAATAATAGATAACGACGAGTATTGTCTCTAATTTATCGTTACACACATGCATCTGTATTAACTTTTTGTTTGTGTATTTAACTGTTGTCATTGAAATGAAAGTAGCTAGAAGCAAAGATTAATAAACTTCTTCTATATATATTATTACTATATTAATTATAGATGAACAAAAAACAAAAATGTAACAAAAATACAAATACTTAATAAAAACATCCTGCAGTAACACATAAAAGTTCGTCTCCGGTAAGTAAAACGTTGTCCTTGTTTTTTCTAAGGTCGAATGTATTGTATTTCATGGAGAATAGTTCCTCGAATGGCTGTTAACTTACCTATTATAGATTTTGATTAGTTTTATGCTGAAATATGTAGGGATGTTACCGTTCTACTGGCTAGGCAGTAGAAGAATAACGTATAAAAGAAAAAATTGTTGTATAAAATATACACTTTGTATGGGAATTATGCATTGGGATGCAAGTAGTTTTTCATGCATTTTTTTGTGTTAACATTGATTAAACATATAGTATCACAGTTCACTATTTGAAATATATAACATTTGTTCCATTTATAGCGTTTTGCTGACATTGCGTAGACTGTTTTTTTTTGTGTCATACTATAACTTGCGCAGTATAATATAGCTATGATTATGAATAGATTCGAAGAACCACCGTGATCTGGTGTTTATATTGTTCATCACTTACTTCGAAGATATTGTGTTTGAACCTCGCATCGTTAGGTCGTATAATGACCTTGAATCAGTTACTTATGTCTCAGTAGTCTGGCACAAGCTTAGCGAGTGTATATGGGGTGAGCTCAAGCAATTCACTGAAAGAACTCTACGTCACACTGGTCTGCTAGTCAGAGCTGTAGTTAATAACTGGTAACACTATGTCAGAAGCTTGTCAACTGTAGGAATGATATTGGGGCTACTAAAACTGACATCTTACATCGGTAATGGTAGCAGTAAAACTAGTTTTCTTTTTCTTCTAGATTTGGAACCTATATAATCGATTATTTAACTGTTATAAAAGACTATTTTTTTACTATTAGTAGGTGCACATCTTTTTTCACATATCAGTTCAAATATCTATAGTCAATCCGCTTTTGATCTCTTTTTGACACTAATTGAGTCTTGCGGTCAAATGAATAGATTTTTAACCGCAGAATCACTTCATCTGCTGGAAGAACGAACAAAATAATACTGATTTTATATTTTCGAAGCCAAAAATACACATTATGACAATGATAGGTATACATTTTGTTAATGCTCGTTTGATTTTGATTGAGAAAACCTAAAACCAGCTTATTTATTCACTGGATAAACAAACAAAAAAATTAAGAAAAGAAAACTTTAAATTGTGAATATTTTTTGACCACAGATCAAACTCGACTGCATATGTCAATTTTGTATTGTATTTCGACACATTTTGTTATTAGACTGCATACATACATCCATTAATGATTAAACACGTTGAGCAGATAATTGACGTTTATTATGCACTAGTTGGAGAAAAGATAGCATAAATAAAAAATGCAATTGCATTTCTAATATGTGCGTAACAAAACCTATGACAGTAAAAGTAATTTAACATTCCCACTCACTGGTAAAGAGCTCATTTATTATACTATCATAATTTGTTCTTAACTTGTTTGATCATAATAAAGTAAAAGAACATAAAATGACACATGAAATGTTGAAAATGTGTGAGGAGAAATTGACGTATATTAACCTCCGACTATTTTAGGGTTCATTTGTATAATTCTAGAGGCAAACTTTTGAAAAAGCTTTTTGAGCGTTACGATCTACAGTGGAACTATTTCTTACTAAAGTTAAAAAACTCAACTCAACGATTCTCAGCAGTTTAACTAGATTTATGTAATGACAAATGAGGGTGTTAAATCTTGCTTTTTCTATGAATTCAACCAGGCATGGGCGAGTCCGAGTCCGCCAGACTGAAAGATTTTTTGACGGACTTGGACTCGAACTTGAGTTTTTGTATTTCGAGTTCGATCTATTCAACTTTTAACACAAATGAACAGACAAAAATGAAAAGCGAAATAACAACACCTTCTGGGGTCAGTAAATTAAAAAAGAGAAATAAACCATACTCATAAAAAAAGAATCTAAAAGATTGCCCAACTCGAAATGAACTCAGGACTCGGACTCGGTCTTTAATGTTAAGAACTCGGATTCGGTACCCCCTTGGATTCGTTCATGCCTGTATTTAACTCCTGTTGGATTTCTTCATTGGATCCTTCGAAATTTCACGAAGAATTACGTTTTGAAGTGTGAGTGTTACTCACCAAACCTGCTGTAAGAAGTATATTGATTGATGCATTCTTTTCTCAATACTAACGAAAACTTCTTCATCCGTTGAAAAACAAACCTTTGAAAACCGAACTGTTTTCTTTAAATGACGAACGATATTTTCCCTCCTTTCACTAAATATCGGCCTAGCACTAATATGAAAAACAGTCAACACTTTGATGTACTATATTCTCTGATTTTTTCTTCTTCTAGGTAATGTCAGATGGAATGTCACCGGATGCCAATAGCGGTGGCAGTAAAGCAATCACAAATCAGGTAGCCGACAAACCTAGTGTACCTAATAATCCAGTGACGTCATCGCCTAATAAAACCAAAGAAAGCTCATTATATACTGATCCAACTTATAAATGTTACATTGGAACGGGAAACAATTCAGAATTGTAAGTATTTACTGTCATTTCAACTCTTTTAAGACAATAAGGATTATGAAGCAATCCAATAAAAAATTGCTTTATTAAAAATTAAAAATTTCTCATTAAAAAGTGTAAAAAATTCGTTGATTTAGAATCGAGAGTATATTGCTCAATATTGGTTATGAGCGTCAAATCGAGAAAACGGATGATTTCAAATTCAAATGGGTACAATGTAATCAGAGTGTTAATTGGAATGCATTTAAAGATGGTGAACAAATGGTCAATCATATACAAGGTAAAAGAAATAGTTTTTCTTTAAGTCAAATAAAAATTATTCATTAGTTTTTCTTGTATTTTTTAGGTGAAGATTTTTTTACAACAAAATTACAATTATGGCAATCACTACAAACTTATGAGAAAATATCAAATACAATGCTAAAACGTCAAAAAGAATTCTTACCCTTAAACGAATTTGTACCAGAAACATTTAAATTAGACGAAAAAACTGATAGAGATTTATTTTTTAATACACATAAACGTAAGAGAAGTATACATTGTCTTAAATAAATATCATTCATTTATTCTATTTTTAGCCGGTGATGTGTGGATATGCAAACCAAGTGGTTTAAATCAAGGTGGGTAGTGAATTTTGTTTAATAAGGCACAGCTATAGTGGTGTTAATTCTCATCTCACTGTAGAGTTGAAAAAGTGAATTTTACAAAACGATGAATATTTTTTCAGGTAAAGGAATATATTTGGTACGAGATATTGATTCATTGAAGAAGAAATTTGCCGAAATAGACGCTCTTGATAAAAAAAAACAAGTATCTGTTAAACCAATGAAACGAATAATTCAAAGGTTATATTTAGACACTTCTTTTTTCGTCTTTATAAATTTTGAAAATCTTTTTAACTATAGATATATCATGCATCCACTATTAATTCATGGAAAAAAATTTGATATTCGATGTTATATGTTAGTTTCTAGTGTCAAACCGCTCATTATTTTATATCATTCCGGCTATATAAGACTATCGATGTTTGATTTTGATCCAAATGACGGAAATCTTCTTACTCACTTGACAAATCAGGTAATGATTAATTAAATTATAGAAAAAATAATAATTATTATCTCAAATATCGGTCAGTTTAGTATATGCAAAAAAAAGATCCAAAATACTACGATTTGAAAGAAGAAACGGCATGGACAATGGAGCAATTTAAGTAAGCATACAGGTATCAATCGAAATAGGCAGATAGAATATATATTTTGTCGAATTTCAGTGACTATATGAATAAAAATGTGTTGAAAAATAAGCCGGAATTTGAACAAGATTGGGTGTTGAATGTACTACCCGTAAGTTTAAATTGTATTATGTACATATAATTATGGTACCATATCATCATCATTTTAAGAAAATTATTCAACGTATTATGTTAAATGTGATCGAATCAATTCGAATGCGTTTAAAACGTCGTTTAGGATGCTTCGGTTTGTATGGTTATGATTTTATGATTGATCAAGACATGAAAGTATGGCTCATCGAAATAAATGTGAATCCAGCTTTAACAACAAATACAAATACTTTGGTAGAAGCTATACCACCTGTTGTCGAAGAAAGTATCAGTAAGTATCAACATCTTACGTTGTTTATAAAAATGCGAAGTTGATATAAAACTTATCTTCTTCCTCAGTGTTAGCGACAGAGTGTTTTGAAAAAATTCGTCATAATCAACGTATATTTCCACTGAAAAATATCAAATCATTCAAATGTATCTATAATGAAATGGAACGCAAAGGTTCGTTACCATTTATTGAACAACGTCGAGCAAAAAGTAGTTCACCGAATACTCGAAAACTCTATACATCTGTAGCGAACAATCTGAATAATAATCCTTCGGTTACAACTCAAGTCAATCCGCCGCCGCGAAATCAATCACCACCATCACCAAAAGTTGGTCGTTTCATAACAGAAAAAGAGCCGTTAAGTCCTCCACCCACAATAACTGTTCAACGTACAATATTCCCAAATCAATTTCGTCAGTTTCAAGAGCGTATTCGTCATTCTCGATTACAAGAATCAACAAAAACACTCAACAATATTAATATCACTACTATATCACCCATCAATTTAACTAGTTTAACGGGAACAGGTGCATTGAGTGTAACTAATAGTCTAAATAATACTACCTCACAATCTCATGCTCTTACGACAACTGAAAATAATCCAAATGAAAAGACCATCATGCGTTATCAGACAATTACACGCTATAGATCAAATTTTGAAATTTTAAAACCAGCAACAGTTATCGCTGAAGAATGGAAAAACCTAGATACATCAACCAAAGAACGTATAATGACATCAGCACATACGACAACGACTGGTCCCATGCATGGACCAAAGGCACTTGTTCTTATTTCAAAATCAAAACTGGCAGGTGTCACAAGCTAGGGACACGGGACAGTTACATCATTATCAGTTCAACAGTCAGCAGGAGCATCACGAAATGCGCGTAAGAATTGGTTTTTAAGTGGAAGACAATTAGCAGTTATTGATACAAAAACACTAGGTAAGTAAAATATTGTTTGTGTGTTGTTCAATGGTTGAGTTGGTAAAAGTAATCTTTTGATGTGAAACGACTTTAGACTAATATTTTTTGACTTAATTTCTTAGAAAGTCAATCTCATAGTAAGTAATTGAACATTTTTATCTGCTAATAACTACACGCGAGAAGATGAAACGTGTGAAATTAAATTAATAAGTGCAGATAATTTATTAACACTTTGTTTTGTATTTCACAGTATGTCGCAGTATATCACAGTATACTTATTTATTCTTCTTCCTTAAAGGGACATGGTTGAAACAGCGTAAAGAACATCCTGAGACATCTTCGTCTTCTCCCGGTTCATCTATGTCATCTACCACTAATGATATTTCATCACCACAAGATAGTTCTTGTCATAAACTCAATCAAAGTTCACCTGAACACCCAAATACTTCACCTCAACTACTACCCGATATTGGTGAACGTCGTCCACACTCGTCGCTTCATGGAAATTCTCTTCTTCAACAACAACAACAACCAAATAAAATGAAAAAATTGATAATAACAAATGAGTTTCTCAATAAACATCCATGGGAGTACGATGATTGGATGGGTCAAAGTGGTGATGATGATGTGAACGATGACCAAATCGGACCAAATTCTAAATTTAATAAATCTACGCTAATCTATCGTTTAATGCGTTCACGTTTAGACGCTAATTTAGCCCAAAGTATTTCAGGAAATCAAGCCCTAGTGCGCACAAAGCAACAACAGCAGTATGTCCTGCAGCAAGAGCGATGATAACTAAGATGACAATGATGATGTGACTGTCCGTAAACAAACGACAGAGACAATATTTGTCTGTCGCTAACTATATGCTGGTTTATAACTCTGTTTTTTATTATGGCTTCTTTTGTAAAATCATTGTTAATTTTGTGTTTATACGGTGAGACTTTTTTTTGATTTTGTGATAATGAAAACACAGATCTGAAACGAATGATCCTATTGTCATCGAAAGTGAAGGTCATCTAGAGTGGTACTCGGTGACCAGGAATAGCCTTGAATCTCATGAAAAAAATCCGTAATTGTAGTTCATACTGAATCTGGCAGAAATGTTTTTAAAAAAGAGTTCAATAAAAACCTAATGAAAATCGAGTTTTACAAAAATTAGGTTTTCTACCTGCTGAAAATGTTTTAGCTAAAATGCGTTCGAACGACAACCTCAACCCGACAAATGCGTTTATAATCGGTTCTTGGTGGTTCCTGCATTTGAGCACTCCAAACGCGTTCTTAACTAATGACTTGCCGTTCGAACGCGTTTTATTTTGCTTTTTTGCGGATTGAAATAAGTTTCTTGAGACAAGAAACGAGTCCAAACGAACCTTTATCTCAAATTGTTCTCAATGGGTGACCTGTTTCTATCCAAAAAAATAAAAGAGATTCATAACTCACTTAGGTATGCAACAGTTGCGGTTAAGAGTGCCCCTCCCCTCTTTTTTCACTCTGTTGCCAAATACGGAGCACACGTCCGATCGAGTTCAAATTTATAGCAGAGATAGAACATCGAAAAAAAAAACCAATATATTTTTGCCCAGAATTTTCTGAGATATTCTTCTATAGGTTTTCTGGAAAATTTCAGTTTTCATCCAGTCACATTACGACCCCTCGAAAAAATGATCCGATCGAGCTCAAAATTTTACTACAGATATTTTACACCTTATCTCAGGGTCAAAATTTTTTTTCAAAAAATATGCTTTCCTTCTAGAGATATTCAAAAAATCTTAAAAGTCCTGTATAGAAAACCGGGTTTTGATTTTAAAAACTTTCTCACGCCGTAAGTTGAAATCAGAAACGCTGAAAAGAATTTTTACTGCTGAGATATGGTCTGAAGTATCTGTGGTAAAAACTTAAGCTCGATCGGACCATTTTTTCGAGGGATCGTAATGTGACTGGATTGAACGGACTATGAAAAAACGCATAGTAAGAAAAACACATATTGTACACATGGCTCTGTTTTTCAGGGCATTTGCGATGATACTTATATCTCCACGAAAACTCATAGAAAAATTCTGCAAGACGTCTCATTTTAAAAGCAGACTTTCTTCTATCCGTCCATGAGCAGAAAAAATTTTGAATATATAGAAAAGGAGAGAATTTAAATTTCATTTTATAGCCCAGACTTTCCTCTACATTGGGCTATGTTCAGCTCAAAATGCAAAGTTTTTGCACAAAAGAGGGGAGGTACCCTTAACTGTAACTGCAAAACTGTAGAAACATAAAACTGATACATTTGATATCGAAACTGCTCATAATTCTAGGAAACAATTTATATGTAAAACCAAAGTTCTTTTCGCATAAAAAGATAGAAAAGATCTTTTCGCATTCGTCAATAACGCAAGAGTATGTATAAATCATTATAGCATACTTTTCGCGCTTATTAAACATATAGAGTATAAAGTTTATAGTTAAACTAATATATAAACACACCTTAGTGAAATTCATTAAGAGAATGAATATGAGAACAGAGTCATTTTCAGTTGATGACATTACGCTGTGTACTGCTACATTTTGTCTTAATTTCAAGTAGAATTTAACTGAGAAATCTCACGTTTTCACTGGCTCAGCATTTGTACTTGTGCTAGACATGCACACCACCTTCTAACCTGTATCGGTTTTAACTATGAACTTTTAACACATTTGATACCATGAACTGTTAATAAACTCACATGCATTAATTGACTTCAATAAAATTTCTAATGTGTCTACATGCGTTAAATTTTGTATACCAAAAGTAAACGAAAAAATTCTCGCCTATGAAAAAATCATTTTAAATTTTCTTAAGGTATTTCTTGCGTTAAAATTAAATCGACCCTAAAGTGTTTTTAACGCGTTAACGAGATTTTTTTCATTTTAACGCCTTAAAAAATGCATTCAACGCATTAAAATGCTTAATTTATAAAAATACATTCAATTTTAACGAATTTGAATGCATTCAGGCATAACCATAGCTAGGGAAGGCATCAATTTCCGAGTAATACCCTAAACCTTTAATAGTATGTCTGATTGTGTAGAAACAATCGCCTTATACTAAACTGTTTGAAGGCACAGCATTGTCAGAAAAGGGTAACAATGCTTTTCTATGCAATGGGATAATATTTTGTCTTTTGAAAAGTGTTAATGCGTTCATATGCATTAATCTTTAACGAGTGTGAACGCATCAGATTAATCTGAATACATGTAAATGTATTAAATGAAGGGAAAACTTTTTTATGCATTCGAACGCGTAAAAAATTTTAAGAAGTTTAAATCCTTAGTCAATACGGCATTTGAACTTGGTGAATTTGTAAAAATGCATTAGGAAAGTTAAAAAAAGTAATTAAGTTTCAGGATATACAAAGATGTTGAAAGAAATTGTTATCCATCTAATGAGTTCAGATGCATTAAAGGTACAAAATGTCGATTTTAGTGCGTTCAAAGGAAACTTTTTGTATTAAAAAAATTTATTGGGAATACTCCCAAATCAATTTCGTCAATTTCAGGAGCATATTTGTCATTCTCGATTACAGGAATCAACAAAAACATTCAACAATATTAATATTACTGCCGTATCACGTACCAATTCATTTTTCAAAACAAATTTTTCCACAATGTTCAGCGTAGTCAAAAATCTGTTGTATCGAATAGCGAAAACTGCATGCATCTATCTCATTTCGTTAAAAAGATTATTCAGAATTATCCGAATACATTCTATTTTGAATGCAATGATACTTTTCTCCCATTTTTTTATGGACGGTAATAGTTTTGATCCCCGAAAAAACTGCAGAATGTATACAAAAATTTGTATAAAAAACGCACAAAAGATCCGTTTTTTTCTGTTGGCCTTCTCATTTTCATCTCGCTGCCTCTGACACCGCCTTTGATCTTATTCAAATTTTTGTATACGAGATCCATTGTGCATTTTCATCTGGATCTTTTCTGATTTTATCCTTTTTTTTGTTGCTCATTTTCATCATAAGGCGATAGTAGTCTATTGTAGGCTTAATATAGCTGTTTAGTAATACATTTACACTTTCTAGGCGAATTGTGTCTTATATAATCAGTTACAAATTAGTTCAGGATTCGCAGCTTCTCTACAGCTGAACATTTTTTTGTCGTTTTTGTTTGAACAGCTTTTTGACACAGCTAGTACTTTGACAATGTCCAATCTATCACTGTTTCTATTGTGTTTTCATTCGTTCATAGAAAACAGTAAGAAGGATTTTCTTGAATTACTAGGACAGTAACGCCAACATCACGACACAAGTATATTTTCTGACTATCTGTTCGACCGTACAGAAACTTTTGTGGTTGCAAAAGAAAAATTTCTTACTTTAGTCCCGGAAGGTTGTAAAAGGTTTGTAATGGAACAAATTTTGCATGTTGAGGATAACGAAACTATAACGAATCACGCATTCTAAGACACCACCATCAAAGTTTTTTCCTATGCAATAAGGATGAGGATGCTACAAACAAGTTTTTCGATAAAACAAATGCGTTCACACACGTTTTAGAGATTTTAGTTTATTTAAATCAAAACCTTGAACTGTAGACGGGCTTTAGATATAACTTTTTTCAAAAAAGAACGTGTACCTCACAAAATGGAGGTGAGAGTTTTTAAGTTCTCTCTTTCTCTCACGAGGAAACCTCTCGAGGTGATTAAAAGCTTTTCGACTCAGTCTACTTTCATCATGTAGGGAATAGTCAGTAGTGAAAAACCCCAAGTTGGTTTGGGTCCATGCGCCTTTTTGACGGAGATATGAGTTAATTAATGAAAATGCCATTAATAATAATTAATTAATAGCTCACGACCATGATCAGCTAGGAGTCGGAAATTTTCACCACAGTTGAAGATAGATGTTGTCCACTCACTGCGACACTTTTAGGCTTATAAACCAAAGCTTTTGCAAGATATGTATTTTTTATGATTTCGACAGTTTTTAGTGAAAATTCACCACTGAAAACCTAAAAACTTGTTATCACTTTTTAGATACCTCTATCGACTCAGGAAAGACTTATTTCATTTAGATATAGGTCCCTGAGAGCCGCTGAGCTTCTTCAGCGTGAACAGAGGTATTTAAAAGGTGGTAACAAGTTTTTAGGTTTTCAATGGTGAATTTTCACTAAAAACTGTCGAAATCATAAAAAATTCATATCTTGCAAAAGCTTTGGTTTATAAGCCTAAAAGTGTCGCAGCGAGTAGACAACATCTATCTTCAACTGTGGTGAAAATTTCCGACTCCTAGCTGATCATGGTCGTGAGCTATTAATTAATTATTATTAATGGCATTTTCATTAATTAACTCATATCTCCGTCAAAAAGGCGCATGGGTCCAAACCAACTTGGGGTTTTTCACTACTGACTATTTCCTACATGATGAAAATAGTCTGAGTCGAAAAGCTTTTAATCACCTCGAGAGGTTCCCTCGTCAGATGCGTTTCAGAATATAATTTTTTCATTTCAGAGTTTTTCCTCCAGAGGAGTCTAAACGTGTTCTTCTCCCAACTAGATGGAAAACTACGCTTCAACTCAAGTATACGGCCTGTCCAAAAGTAACGAAATTTCATTTTTCTAACTTGTGCGCCCTCTATCTCGGTAAGCACGGAATAGATAAAAGTGAAATTTTTATCAAATGTGTATCCTGTCTGATCCTGCTACAAAGAAAATTTTGAGTTGATTTGAAAATTTTAATTGAAAATTTTAATTGAAAATTTTAATTGAAAATTTTAATTGAAAATTTTAATTTTAAAGTAGATTTTGAAGT